CACAGAGATGGCTGTGCTGCTGATCCCTTCTGAGGAGTTGGGGGACTGGGGACTCCTACTGAGGTCTCATTAGGGGCCCTTCACTGGGGCAGCTGGAGTGTGGGTGAGCAGGTCAGGGCCCCTGCTCTTTAGTCCATGGAAGCATTTGTTGATTCCACAGAGACACTGGAGGAAGGGAAGCCCTCTTAGGAGGATGAGGCCTCTAGGAGGACAGCTGCTCCAAGCAGTAGCTTCCCTCTTTGAAGAGGCCTCACATGCTGGTTTCATCAAGGAAACAAGGTCTAGAGGAAAATCATTTGCTTAGAAATGCTTCCACCTGAGCATGGTGGTGCATGCCTGTAATCGCAGTACTTTGGGAGGCCGAGGTTGGTGGATCATTTAAAGTCAGGAGTTCAAGACCAGCCTGGCCAACATGGTGAAACCTGTCTCTACTAAAAATACAAAAATTAGCCAGGTATGGTAGTACATGCCTTTAATCCCAGCTATTGGGGAGGCTGAAGCAGGAGAATTGCTTGAACCCAGGGGGCAGAGGTTACAGTGAGCTGAGATTGCATCACTGCACTCCAGCCTGGGTGACAGAGCAAGACTCACTCTAAAAAAAAAAAAAAAAGGCAATGTTTCTTATCACATCTTCCATCTTCTGCCTCCTCCTTTTGTTAATCTTGAGGATTGTCATAATGACAGGGCAGTGCTTCTTTTCACATAGGAGGACATATTGCCAAGGGACAAAGCACATGGATGGGGGAGTCTATCAGGCCCATCAAGGTGAAGAGAGGCCGGTCTTATCTCATTTAGAGAATAAGTTTCACATATTCTTCAATAGACCCTGTTATCTGTCACTAAATTCAGTCTTCTAACCCATTATCTGACCTGTTTCCCTCACTCCAATCCGATCTGGCTGAGTTCCTACCCGCTGAACATGGTTCTTACTTCTCCAGAAAAGCCAGTCTTTAACCTCTCTCTGCCTATCTGGTTCTGCCCCAAACTCAACTCTACTTCCTCTTCTTTCTTTTTCTTTTAGCTATTTATATCTCTTACACAGAAGCTGAAAAGCAGACCTCAGCAGAGCTATAGTTGTTTTATGTGAGCAGAAGAGGGTATCCTATGCAGCACATACACTTGTGAGGAAAAGTGTGGGTGTCTGTGTTTCTGCACTAAAGTGTAGGGTTTGTTTTCTGAAGTTCTCACCTATACTTCTTCTGCCTCCTCCTAAATTCAAATTAAAGACCAGCAAAAAAAGGGATTGTAACCCCAACGTGGATTTCGTATATGTTCACACTAAATAAAATTCACAAAGTCCTATCTTTCTATGAAAAAATTAAATGCCACAGTGTATTCACACTTACAGGAATTTAAAGCTTTCATTGTAAAGCTAAGGCAACATAAAGAGTAAATGCTGTAATTGAATGTATACATTTATTATATGTTGATTTCTATAGTAGGAAAAAAGAATTTTGGTCTGTCTGTGGTTTCATCATTAATTCACTAGGTTAAATAGAAAGCTTCAAGAATATAGTATTAACAGATACCTAAAAATTACAGATAAATCTAGTAATGGAGCTTATAATACAGAATTAGGAGGTGCTCATTAATGAATTTTGGATACAAGTCAACAGTTAGTAAATATTCATTGGGAAGTTGCAGTATATATTTTTCTAAGTTATGAAGTGATCTAGATATGGGATATTGAAAAAGATACAAAATATTTAAATTCTTGCTAAACTAATAGAATATACTGCTTGTATTTTCATCACTTACAATAACATTATTAACATTTTACAGTGTAATTCTCCACGCTTTTGTCTATGTGTATGATTTTATAAAATATGAAGTACTATAACACTGCTTCAGATTCTGCTTTTTCTCTTCAAATGCATCTGGGGTCCTAGTAAAATTTAATTTCTTAACTTGGGTAGTGGTGAACACAGAGCTGTTTGCTTTGAGTTAACTTTCTGAGCTATGTAATTATGATTTTTCTGTGTGTACATTTCAATTTTTTTAAGTTTATTTAAAAATGTGTCCTAGGCTGGGTGTGGTGGCTCATGCCTATAATCCCAACATTTTGGGAGACTGAAGCAGATGGATTGCTGGCGCCGAGGAGTTCGAGACCAGCCTAGCCAACACAGGGAGACCTTGTCCCAACTAAAAATTTAAAAAATTAGCCAGGTATGGTGGCTTGCACATGGACCAGTCTGCGCAGCGTAGGAGAAACCTTGTCTCTCCCAAAAAACAAAACAAAACAAAATTAAATTGCCTGGGTGTGGTGATACATGCCTGTAGTCCCAACTACTCAGGAGTCTGAGGTGGGAAGATGGCTTGAGCCCAAGATGGTGAAACTGCAGTGAGCCATGATCAAACCACTGCATTCCAGCCTGGGCGACAGAGTGAGACCTTGTCTCAAAAACAAAAACAAACAAACAAAAATCCATCCTATTCCAAGTCAACATGTATCTATATTACTCTGAATGGTTCTACAGTATTTCATGTTATGGATATATCATAATTCATTAAACAAAATCTGTATTGGGGGACATTTATAAGATTTACAACTTTTTACATGTACACTGTCGTCAGTAAAAACTCTTATATGTTTGCATTTATACTCTTGTGTCATAGGGCATATTTCCTATGAAAATAAACCCTGAGATTAAAATGTACATTTAAGATGTTTACTGGGGAGAAATCTTGGAGCAATACCTGCAGAGGGAATGAAGGAAGCATAATTGGGCAGGGGAGGTAGAGTTTTCATGCAGTCACAATAAAGGTCTTGGCCAATCCCATAGGAATGCTAGCTTTCTCTAGAACTAGATTGACCTTCAGAGTTGTCCTGAATTAAGGTAAAGGGATCAAGCCTTTATATCCCCTCAACATTTATTAGATGTGGACTGCCCCTGGGGAAGAGGCTTTACTTTTAGCAGGATGGTTCTCTGCCACTGTTACAGTCTCACCAACACACCACAATGTAGCAGTCTCTTGCTGCCCAAGGTAAAAACACTAAAACCTTTCTCACTAAAACCTTTCCCAATTCTCCCCCATTCTATTCAGACAAACTTTTCCTTCTAGATAATCAAAAAGAACAACAAATTCAAGCCACATTAAATACATTTGAAGAAGAAAGTGTATACATTCAAGAGGGGGAAAATTGTTAAAACAAGTAGTTTGAACAACTACTCTTCAAAGAGTTTCACTTTGTTACAAACAAGGTGTTCTTCTCCAAGAGGTTTTTACTTCCTTGTTGTATCTGTCCTGAAGTCTTATTTCCCTGTTCTTTGACTAAATTAATCTTGCCTGCCAATCTATCAGCCTCTCCCACCCTGCTGTGCTCAGGCATGCCCACCAAGAAATCACCCTCTCTCAGCTATAACAGCTTTTCCCTGCTGTAACGGCTTTTTCCAGACAAAACTGATCTTCCCAGCTTCCCACAGATATAACCCGCATTCCTGCACTTTTCAAGTTAGCCAGTTGGGTTCAGCTTAGATTGTGCAGTCCAACTCCAGCCAAAGGAGGCAGGACACAGTAACAGGGACAAGCTGTGTTAAGAGATAATAAAAACCCCTGCTCTCCTTTGTTCTATGTGTGCTCGCCATCACTCCATCTGCGAGTAGCACTCTTTCTGCAGAAAGTAAATTTGCCTTGCTTAGAGATCTTTTGTCTCAGTGCTGATTCTTCTTTGTGGCACCGAGCATTTGTTCCCAACAGAAACCAAATGTATACATTGCACAAAATCAGGAAGATGTAAGTGTGAATAAAACACTCTTTCTGTTCTTGAAAACAGTGTAATTTAGGAGACTGAGAAGAAAGAATTCCCACTGAATATGACAAGTGGTATAATAGAGTAGGTGTGAAATGCTGTGGAATCATAGATAAAAGAGCAGGCAAGGGCATGCTATTGTTTGACCGAGGAGAAAAAAAATGGTCTCTTGCTCTCCTATTAGAAGTGAAATATCATTTTTATAGAGGGCAGTTGATAATATCTAAAGCCTTATCAAAAGTCCATGTTCTCTAAACACATCTAGGAATGTATGCCAAGGCAGTAATTGGGCAAGTTTTAGTGGATTGCAGGAGGATGATCTAGTGGATCCCATGTATTGGTGGGTTGTTTAGGAATTGAGACTCTCATTTTCGGAAGAGTCTGTTTCTGACTTGCTCACTCCAGTTTTTAAAGGGTAAAGGAGGACAGGTCCTTGCCTCCAACAGAGAGCATAGTCTTTCTCCTCTTGGGAGACAGGGCTCTTGTCATTAACACATTCTATTAAAAGCTGACAAATCCATTCCTCATTGGACCCAAATTTTGGCCAGAAAATTGAGGGTTTGAGGATAGGCTCTCAAGTTCAAATAAAATAACAATATTTTATCATTTGCTGATTTCTTTTATATCTTTCTAATATTTTAACATAAGTTCCAGAAGATTAACAGGAGGAATTTCATCATCTGTTTGGCTCTTTATCTTCCCTGTCTTACTTGAAACATATCCCATCTTGAAGGTTTGAGGTGATGCCTAACTAGGATAGGCCTTTTCTGTGGAGTTTTCAACGCCTCTTACTGGAGGTGTCTAACACTCCTGGTTGCAGGGTTGGGAAGGTAGCTCAACTTCTCCTATTAGATGTTTCTTGCCCTGCCTTCCCTTGGAAGCTTGCCTAGGCTTAGCCTCTCCTATCAGAAGTTTCTTGCCTTCCGTTTCCCTCAAAGTTTTGTTAAAGCTCAACCTCACCTATTAGGTTTCTTGCCTTTCCTTCTCTGGAGGTTTGACCCCACCTGATGGAGGCTTCCTGCACAGCTCTCTCTTCACTTCCTCTGCTCTGGCCACTTCCCTCGTGGTACTGCTTCAGACTGCTTCGAGGAGCCATGTGAGATGACCATGGAACCACAAATTGGACTCACTCACTCACTCCACATGCACTTTCAACCTCCAGAATCCTCCCCACTCAACCTCCTGACCACCAAGGAAATACTTTGTCACTCCTGTGACACTTCTTACCTTGGTGTGTGCACAGAGTTACCTGGTCACTGTGGTGTTGCAAGCCTTTTCTCCCCTGTTGCTGAGTCCAGGTTTATTCATCACAGGGTAAGTCCCGATTCCTTTCTCCTGAGGCCACCACAATGAGGCAGCTGGATGTATCTCCTTATGAGAGGTGATCAGAGACCCTTTTCCCAGGGGAAGAATGAAGTCCTCATATGGGCCACCAAATTTGTTGGGAACAAATGCTCGGTGCTGAAAAGAAGAATCAGCAGTGAGACAAAGGATCTCTCAGCAAGGCAAATTTACTTTCTGCAGAAAGAGTGCTACTCGCAAATGGTGTGATGGCGAGCACATATAGAACAAAGGAAAGCAAGAGTTTTTATTATCTCTTAACACAGCTTGACCCTGTTACTGTGTCCTGCCTCCATTGGCTGGAGTTGGACTGCACAATCTAAGCTCAACCCAATTGGTTAACTTAAAAAGTGCGGGAATGCGATCACATCAGTGGGAAGCTGGGAGGATCAGTCTCGGCAGGGAAAAGCTGTTACAGCAGGGAGGGGGTGATTTCTTGGTGGGCATGTGTGAGCACAGCAGGGTGGGAGGGCCTGATAGATTGGCAGGCAAGATTAATTTTGACAAAGAGCAGGGAAATAAGACTTCAGGACAGATAGAACAAGGAAGTAAAAACCTCTTGGAGAAGAAGACCTTGTTTGTAACAAAGTGAAACTCTTTGAAGAGAAACTGTCTTAAACCTTGTTTAAACAGTTCCCAATTAATATGTGTTAAGTAAATTAATGTCTTATTGTAGAAAACTAGGAAGTCAGAGAAGATTAACTGACTAGAAACATAGATAATACCACAAAGAAAATATTAGTCATGGTTGAGAATGAAAAGGTGATTGTGGAAGAAATGTAATGTGTTTTTCATGGAGGAGGAATGTAACCACCCAATGGGTTCGCCTTGCCCACTGCCTAGACAGAGCCAATTTATCACACCAGGAGAATTGCAATGGAGAAAGAGTAATTCACACAGAGCTGATCAGTCTCCCCAAGCAGTCAGGCAGCAGAGTTTTTACCAACAGCATGGTGGGTCAGAGGAAGCCAGTGAGCCAGAGTGCTGATTGGTCAGTTAGGAGATGAAATCATAGGGAACTGAAGCTGTCCTCTTGCTCAGAGTCAGCTCCTGGGAGGGGGCCAAAAGATCTAATGAGCCGGTTTATCTGAATTGTTGCCTCTTTATTGGAGAGCTAAGCTTCTTATTTATTCCTGGAGGCTGAGGCAGGAGAATCACTTGAACCTAGGAGGCAGAGGTTGCAGTGAGCTGAGATTGTGGCACTGCACTCCAGCCTGGGCGACAAGAACAAGACTTGTCTCAAACAAACAAACAAACAAACAAACAAAAAACAGCCTGAGGTCAGGAGTTTGAGACCAGTGCAGGGTCTGCAAAATATCTCAAGCACTGATCTTAGAAGGAGTTTAGGGAGGCTCAGAATCTTGTAGCCTCCAGCGGCATGACTCCTAAAGCATAATTTCTCATCTTGTGGCTAAGTTAGTCCTACAAGGGCAATCTAGTCCCCAGGCAAGGAGGAGGTCTGCTTTGGGGAAAGGCTATTATTGTCTTTGTTTTAAACTATAAACTAGGTTTCTCCCAAAGTTATTTCAGCCTAGCCCAGGAATGAACAAGGACAGCTTAAAGCTTAAAAGCAAGATAGAGTCAGTTAGGTTAGATCTCTTTCACATTCTCAGTCATAATTTTGCAAAGGTGGTTTCAAGAAGTTGTCATGATGTGTACAATATTATCTGAAAAAGAATAAATAAGAAGCCTAGCTCTCCAATAAAGAGGCAAAAATTAATGACTGCTACTGTAGAATGGGGTAAATTATAAATAACAGAGAAGTGGTGTAGTAAATATAGCTCAGGTAATATAAAAGGTCAGGGAAAAAAGTGTGTTTTTTCTCTAGCTCTGCCACTTATAACTTGATGAGATTTTTTGATAAATTCCTTTGTAAGCTCTTAAAAACTACCAGTGTCGGTCTGGCACAATGGCTTACACCTGTAATCTCAGCACTTTGGGAGGTGGGGGTGGGCAGATCACCTGTGGTCAGGAATTTGACACCAGCGTGGTCAACATGGTAAACCCCTAATCTACTAAAATACAAAAAATTAGCTGGGCACAGTGGCAGGCACCTGTAATAGCAGCTACTCGGGAGGCTGAGGCAGGAGAATCACTTGAACCCCAGAAGGCAGAGGTTGCAGTGAGCTAAGATTGTGGCATTGCACTCCAGCCTGGGAGACAAGCACAAGACTCTATCACAAAACAAAACAAAACAAAACAAAACAAAACAAAACAACAGCCAAACAAACTACCTAGCCTGGATCCCACCACCAGAGATTCCTGAGATAGTCAGGAGTGGACCTGCTAATCATTATGTTTAGATCTCTCCTAGTAATTTAGATGTTCACCCAGGGTTGAAATTTACTTTCACAGGCTGGGCACGGTGGCTTATGCCTGTAATCCCAGCACTTTGGGAGGAAGGCAAGTGGATCACCTGAGGTCAGGAGTTCAAGACCAGCCTGGCCAACATGGTAAAACCCGGTCTCAAGGGAGAAGCACGTGGCTTGTTGCAATCTGAATGAACAATGAGTGCTACATACACAGTTGTCTAGTTTTTCTTTTCCTCGATGGAAATTGTTTCATGTTGTAGCCCATTTAACACTTCCTCCTTCCCCCACTTTAGTCTCCTAAAGAGCTGGAACAGCTGAGGAAGCTCTTCGTTGGAGAGTTGAGCTTTGAAACAACCAATGAGAGCCTGAGGAGCCATTTTGAGCAATGGGGAACGCTCACAGACTGTGTGGTAATGAGAGATCCAAACACCAAGCGCTCCAGGGGCTTTGGGTTGTTGAACTTTCAAAGGAATAGAAAAAAAAAAGTTTTCTTACTATAATAAGGAGACTTAGATATATGAGACTAGTGGGTTTCATTTTATGAGCCAAATCTAATCAGTCAGGCAGTTACCCATAGGGTTCTATAATCAATTAGCCAAGCTGATCATGAAAAAGTCAGAAAGAGTATCTAGGACTTACCAACATTTATCTACCTAGACATATCCTCATAAAATTAGAATCAGAAAATGATAACAGTAATATTTATTATTATTTGATACTGTTTTGGAAATCCTGGCCAAATCAATAAGATGTGAGAGAAAACAGTGGTTAGGGAATTTGAAACAAAAGAAACACTGTAGCATTTTCTGTAAGTAATTAAGTAGAAGAAAAAAACATAGATCACTTTTTAACTTCTAGAATTATAGCAAGAGTATAGAAATGACTAGATATAAAGGTACATATATGATTATCTTTTTGAAAATAGTTCTATCTTTGAAGTATTTATCAGTTTGTGGGAACTAAATAAAATGATCCAAGTAAAGCATCTAGAAGAGTTCAGCCAGCTCATATGACCAGAGTTGCAGCCTTATTTGCCTGAATAATGATATCATTATTAAGTTCTCAGTTATGAAACCATATGTCAGAGTTACCCAGGACCATCCCTATGTATGTTGCTGTCCTGGCTTAATTACTAATAATATTCCTTTTTGCTCTCAAAAGTATCACAATTCAGACAGCAAATTAGATGGGCACTCTATTCAGAGCACAAAGCCCTCCATAGAGATCATTATATTGTTATTATTACCAGTTTAATACGGCTTCTGAAAAGGTCACAATGAACAGTTAAGTTTACGTTCTGAATTAGTAGGAGTGAAAATGATTGACATTTTTGTTTGGGCAGGAAGGATAGACTGATTGTTCCCTCATTCTGTTTTTATATAGAACTGGAAAGCAGCATGAAAGGAAGGGGATGTATCAAGGAATACCAGGTGGGCAGAGGCTGCTTTGAGGCATCTGCCAAAGGTTATGAGTCACTGCAGACACACTGAGAGTCACACTGGGGGAAGGTGCAGCAGACAATGGAGAAGCTCAAAGTGATGCTTCTGAGAGAGACTTGGGACACTGTGTACAATTAATCATCTCTCCCCAGGGGTGACTGTGGGAGCCACAGCAGCGCCTGAAACTTCCAGGGGAAACACTGAACACGGAAATTTGTGGAAAGGAAACAAAGGAGGTGGATGAAAGCTGAGGAACAAGTGTTTAAACAATGCAGCTTTTCTTGCACTGGAAGGTTGTCTTTGGGTACTAACCTTCTGTGTGGTAGACAGAGGGTGGCCAGGAAGAGGAAGGAAACCACTGAGAGAGGCCGTAGCAGTCTTGCCTGTGGTCCCCTGTAGTGCCCTTTCTTTTGAACTCTTTCTCGAACCCTTAATCCCTGTCAGGCTCCTGGAGGAGCTTCACTGGGCAGCTTCAAATCTCCCCAGTTTGCCCTGTCCCCAGAAAAACAGACCATTGAAATTGCTATTTCAGAGCTGGAAGCTGGTCAGCCAGCTCAGATGACCGGAGTTGCAGCTCTTATTTGCCTGAATAATAAAATCAGTATTGACTTAAGTTCTCAGCAAACAGTGGGGTATTTGTTTAACATTTCTGAGCTGCTGCTCAAGTTCCAAAAAGTGTCCCCTTCTAAAGAAAAGTATTTAAAATTGGATTGGAAGTAAGGAGTAGGTGAAATAATGCTATTGGCTGGGTGGGGGTGGGGGGGGCGGAGTTCTGGGTTTGCAGTGAACTTTCACTGAACTTCCAGCTCCTTAGGGCATGCTCCTTGTCATCTGTCCATCATGCCCAATGGCCAGCCTCAAGGGAGAAAAGAGAATGCTCTCTTCGAGATGGCTAAAACTACCTGCCTGTCTGTCTGTCTGTCTGTTATCATCTCAGTCTCTCTTTCTCTCTCTTTTTTTTTTTTGAGATGGAGTTTTGTTCTTATTGTCCAGGCTGGAGTGCAATGGCACAATCTCGGCTCACTGCAACCTCCATCTCCTGGGTTCAAGTGATTCTCCTGCCCCAGCCTCCCGAGTAGCTGGGATTTTAGGCATGCACCACCATACCTGACTAATTTTGTATTTTTACTAGAGATGGGGTTTCTTCCTGTTGGTCAGGCTAGTCTTGAACTCCCGACCCCAGGTGATTCATCCTCCTCGGCCTTCCAAAGTGCTAGGATTACAGGCATGAGCTGCTGCGCCCAGCCTATCATCTCAGTCTCTAAACCACTTCCTTGCTCCTGATTCTCTGCCCACTTAACTTGTCAACTGTGACTTTGTGGAACATAATGTAACGAAAAAAGGCATGGGCTTTAGGGAAATTGGCCCC